TTTTGGGTGCACTCACCACACCCCAAATCCCACCCCAGATTTCCCCCAAAGCCTTTTGGGTGCACTCACCACACCCCAAATCCCACCCCAGATTTTCCCCAAATCCTTTTGGGTGCACTCACCACACCCCAAATCCCACCCCAGATTTCCCCCAAACCCTTTGGGGCGCTCACCGCCGATGGTGCTCTCCTGGTACTCGTGGAACTGGCCCTTGACGAAGCGCAGCACCAGGCTGGATTTGCCCACGGCCGATTCTCCCAGCAGCACCAGTTTGAACTGGCAGATCTTACTGGGCTGGGAGTGCCCGTTGGGCCGCTGGGCCCCGCGGCTCGCCATGGCCACGGCGGGACGGCTGCGATCGGGATGGCCTGCGGGGAAACGGGGACACCCTTGGGATGGGGTCACCATAATGGGATTGATCCTTGTGGGGTGGGATCAGCCCATTGGGATGGGATCACCATAATGGGATTGACCCCTTTGGGGTGGGATCAGCCCATTGGGATCAACCCCATTGGGATGGGGTCACCATAATGGGATTGACCCCTTTGGGGTGGGATCAGCCCATTGGGATCGACCCCTTGGGATGGGGTCACCATAATGGGATTGACCCTTTCGGGGTGGGATCAGCCCATTGGGATGGGGTCACCATAATGGGATCGACCCTTTTGGGGTGGGATCAGCCCACTGGGATCGACCCCTCTGGGATTTCTCCCCAAATAAAACTGGGATCCCTTCCTAACAGAACATTCAGATCTCGCCCTAAAAAACACTGGGATCCCTTTTTATCGAAATATTGGGATCATTCCCTGAAAAACACTGCGTTCCTTTCCTATTTCCTCCCGGAATACCGGGATTGTTACCCACTTCCAGGGGATCCCAAATGCCAGGGAATCAAATTCTGGGTAAACCCCAATTCCAAGGAATCCCAACCTCTGGGAAAACCCCAATCCTAGGGAATCCCAAATTTTGGGGGATTCCCAAACCTAAGGAATCCCAAATTTGGGGGGATGTCCGGCTCCAGGCAGAGATCAAAACCCCCACTGAAAAGGGGGGAAAGACCCCAAAAATGGGGAGGAGGCAAAATGCACCCCCCGAATAGGAGAACAAACCCTAATAATGGGAAGGAAGCGAAAAACCCGCCCCAGAATCTGGGGAAAGACCCCAAAAATGGGAAGGGGGAGAAAAAACCCCTCCAGAACGGGAGTCCCCGCATAACGAACCAGCGCCGCTCCCCTCGGCCAAAACGCGGCCAGGCCCCGACCCCTCCGAGAGCTCCCGGCGCTCCCAACCCCGAACCCACCGGGACGAGGCGACC